GGGGGGGGGGGGGGGGGTGGTGGATTAAGGCCAAGCAGGAAGAAAGAAGAGGATGAGTTGGAAGATCAGTTGCCCTACTTTTCTTCTGCAGAAACCTCTCTAGACCCCGAGGACTGCTCTTCCTCCCACCATGACTAGGTCAACTGAGAATAGACAACCCCTGCCTCCCCCAACTCCCTCCTTCCAGAGGGTTATGTAACCAAGTCCAAGCTCATACCACTCACAGCATGACAACCAGTAAGTTGAGAGACAAAGTGTTGGGGCAAGGTGAGCGACTTTACTTGGAGAGACAGCAAGCTTTTTTTTTACAAAAAAGCCAACCAGCGTCCTAAAGAACCATCTTAGGTCAGCATGGAACTTCAGACTTCTTTTGATGTTATAGGAAGGGGAAAGAGGAGGGCATTGGCATCAAGAGGTGACTAGGCCAGGTCCAATGACTCACACCTCTAAGCCCAGCACTGTGGAAGGCGAAGGTGAGAGGATTGCCTGATTCCAGGGATTTGAGACCAACCTGGGCACTTGGTGAAACCTTGTCTCTACAATAAATAGGTGACAGATGTGGTGACATGTGCCTGTAGTTCCAGCTCCTTGGAAGGCTGAGGTGGAAGGATCGCCTGAGCCCAGCAGGTCGATGCTATGGTGGCTGTGAGTGTGCCACTGCACTCCAGCACAGGCGACACAGTAAGACTCTGACTCAAAAAAAAAAAAAAAGAGAGAGGTGACCAATGACCACACACATCTGGACACCAGATGTGAGGGTCCAAGGAGGTTGTGAAACTTTTTTCTAGGTCAGGTCGCCATGTTCCTATAAATCTTTAACACAACATTGTTATTTGTGTGCAAAACTTCTTTTATAGGTCAGGTCACAATGTTGCTATAAATCTTTAACATAATATTGTTATTTGTGTGTATACTTCCTTATCTGGGAAAGAGACCGTTATCCTTTTTTTAAAGTTGAAGTACTAAGCTAAATTCCTCCTATAATTAGCTGGTCTTACAAGCACCTAAGGATATTAATCACCTCAGGAGGTCAGAGGCAAAATGGAGTCAGTCATGCTAAACCTCCCTCCACTGTGATAATTTCCCCCATTGTCAAAGCTTCATTTCACAATCTTGTATGATTGGGGACAACAGACCGTCGTCTCTAATCTGTCTAATTCCTGAACATGGTCAATGAGGGGCAACCATGGAATAAAACCATTTTTTTACCTGACTAAATAAATACTCCCTTAGTGCCCTTTTTAGGAGCAATGATCACAGGCATCTCCCTTCTTGCTTTGATAGCTCTAGTCAGACTGGCACAGCCTTTGGTTACACAACACAACAAACTTTACTGGTCTGCGGGACACTATGACTGGAAGAAGAACTGTAAGGTCCAATTTAAGAATGCTTCCCAGCTGGGCTCGGTGGCTCAGCCTGTAATCCTGTGCCTTTGGGAGGCTGAGGTGAGTGGATTGCCTGAGCCCACGGGTTCGAGACCCGCCTGGGCAGCGAGACCTCATCTCTACAATAAATCAAAAAATCAGCCGGGCGTGGTAGCGCATGCCTGTAATTCCGGCTACTTGGAAGGCTGAGGCGGAAGGATCGCCGGAGCCCAGCAGGTCGAGGCTGCGGTGACCGGGAGCAGCCACTGCACTTCCAGTCTGGGTGACAGAGTGAGACTCCAACTCAAAAAAAAAAAAGGTTGACTAAATTCCACTAGGAATCCAGAAGGTCTCTAAACCAGTCTCCAAAAGTGTCCAGATTAAGCCTGCCTTGGCATTGTAAGGTTTGTTGAAGCCACGTAGTCTGTTGTCTGATTTGATCAATACGGGTCACTACTTCGGAGGAGGAATCAATGTAAGTGCAACAGGCGGTTAGCTGAGGGGGGCCATTTGGTAAGTAGAAACGACACTTCCAGGCTTGTGGGCCCTTATTAGCACTTCACTCATAATGTCTAATGAGGGGCTAAGTAAGAAAGAAGCAGAGGACGTCTAGGTACATTAGATCCTATCAGTGATTCTAGCAACAGGCTTCTGTAAGTCTAATGGGCAAAACTGTACATGAGTAAAATTGTTTACAGGCACAACCATAGGATCAAAGTGGTCACGTATGGAGGTTTAGGATGACAAATCTAGCCATGGGGTAAGTTAGCGGAAGAAGCAATGGATAGAGAGATCCTAACTAAAGAGTCGTGTTGCCAGGCAGGTGAAACCCCCCCAGGAACAAATGACACATAGGGTATACATTTTCATTTCACTTATGCTTTTTTTGTGGAAGAGTAGCTTTAGGCCCTCCAAGGGCTTACGAGTTCACTGTTTTCCTGGTTTCTGGGACGGCGGGGTGTCTTCTGGCGGTGCCGCCTTGACCTGAGTATAGTGTATCCATGGCTTTATTCCGGCAAGTTTAACAGATGAGTGAATGCTCAGCAGCAGTACTCAAATGATCCCATCCACTTGGCAGGAAGCTGATGTTCAGGTTCTTGTTCTTTCCAAATATATAGGACAACCTGATCTCCCGGTCGAAAAGGATGTAGGGCCACGATTATGGAATGAGAAGCAAACTCATGAACAGAAGTTAGTATAGCACCTAAAACCATAACAGATTTGGCAATTGCTAAATGTCTTAAAGTGTCACTTGGTTCTTCCACCATGGCAGAAACCTGGAGTGGCCTCCCATATAATATTTCTTTTCTTTTCTTTTTTTGAGTTGAAGCCTCACTCTGCCACCCAGGCTGGAGTGCCATGGCACACTCAAGGCCACCTCAGCATCGATCTGCTGGGCTCTGGTGATCCTTCTGCCTCAGCCTTCCAAGTAGCCAGAACCACAGGCACGCGCTACCATGTCCAGCTAACTATATAATATTTCAAATGGCCGGAGGCAGTGGCTCATGCCTGTAATCCCAACACTTTGGAAGGCAAAGGCGAGAGGATTGCCTAAGTCCAGGGATTTGAGACGAGCCTGGGCAACTTAGTGAGACCTCGTCTCTACAATAAATAAAAAAATTAGCCAGGTGTGGTGGCGTGTGCCTGTAATTTCAACTACTTGGAAGGCTGAGGCAGAAGGATCACCTGAGCCCAGTGGACTGAGGCTGCAGTGGCTGTGAGCGTGCCACTGCACTCTCAGCCTGGACAACAGAGTGAGACTCCTATTCAGAAAAAAAATTCCAAATTGTCTCGATTTGAACCAACTTAAGGGGGTCAGAGGCAAAATGCTAATGTCAGTCATGCTCAGTCCCCTCCACTGTTACAGTTAGACCAGGTGCTGCTTCTCCTGCCAAGAAACAAGCCAGGAAGATTCACCCATAATCCTGGTGGGAAAACTGGGATGTAGCTTGGAAGGAGAGAACTTCAAAAGCATCGGGGGTAGGATCTGGCCTGGGAGATTGGTACCTAGGTCCCATGCCTGTCCCAGCCCTGACCTGTTCCCTGAGCAGTGCTGTTTCTCATCAACCTCTGCCTGCTCCAGCGTCACAGGGCTGGGCCAGACAGGGGGCCTCTGGCGTCACTGGACACAAGGTTGCTTTCCCACAGCTCCCCTTCCTCCAACCTCTCTGCTCCACATCCGGAAACCTGGTGACCCTTCACCCACCTAGCTTGGTCCCACGGTGAGTGAGATTTACTGCTGGCCCCCTTGCCATCTGCCCCGGGGCAATAGGTCAGGGCAGAGCAAAAAATGGCAACCATCCCACGTAGGGATGATATAAGAGGAGAAGGGCTCAGGAGGCCACAAGACTTCTGTGGATCCCAGAGAGAGCCCCAGACTGAAGGGAAGATGGATGGATGGAGAATGCCTCGCTGGGGACTGCTGCTGCTGCTCTGGGGCTCCTGTGCCTCCGGTCTCGCCGCAGACACGGCCCCCTTCAGACGGTAACTGTGATGCCGGCGGAGAGAGGGTGGCGGGACACTGGCTTCCCAACGCCCCTACCTTCCCAACTTTCAGATATGTGGGTATCATTCGGTCCTCACGATCTGTCAGGCAGAGGTATGGGCCTATTCAGAGAGGTCAAGTGACTTGCTTAATGTCGCACAACCAATAAATTAATGGCCCTAGTAATCAGGCCTGGAAGCCACATCTTTTGCTTCCTGCCCAGAGTACCATGCTAGGCATTGCAGGGAGCTCAGAGCTGATTAAGACATGCCCCTTGCCTCGAGGAGCTCACAGCCTGATGATTAAGAAGGGCACGAGCCGAGCTCGGTGGCTCAGCCTGTAATCCCGTGCTTTGGGAGACTGAGGTGAGTGGATTGCCTGAGCCTGCGGGTTTGAGACCCGCCTGAGCAACTTGGCGAGACCTCATCTCTACAATAAATCAAAAAATTAGCCGGGTGTGGTA